AGAAGGTAAGAAAAGGGAGAAGACAAAGTTACTGTTTAATGGGGACAGAATTCATGTTAGAGATGAGAAAGTTTTCCTACAGAAAGTGGTGAAGGTTACAGAACATTATTGCCACTGAAATGTACACTTGCAAATGGTTAAAAAGATAAATATCATATATATATATATTTACAATAAAAATAAATAAAATTTAAAAAACGGTTTAGAAAGAAGCAGCAGCTAAGGCCAATAGGAGACACTGAACTATGAATTTAGTAGAAATTAAAATGGAAAGACTTGGGGGGAAAAAACCTAAAACCCCCCAAAAAAACCAAAAAACTTCAGGCTTCATAATACTTAAGTTCTAGAGGACTACAATATCCTTGACTTTGTCTGTTTGTTTATTAATTATTTTATATTTGTTTCTAATGGGGCTTTCATTTTTAAAATGTTTTTTTCTTTTATTTTTCTGAGTTCACTTAACTCACTTTTCTTCTCTTTTTACTTTTTCTTCCTTGAGCACTTTGTCTCAATCTCACTCTTTCTTCCTATAAGAGATCCTATTATCTTTAATTTCCTTGAGACTATAGAACACTGTTTTAAGTTTTTCTGAAGCTTCTTTGAGTAATTTGTCTTGTAATATTTATTATCGACCTATCTTTGTTCATGTTGTCAGTTTATTTTAATGCTATGCAAAATCCCTCCTATAAATTGTTTTCTTTCTGTGACTTTGTGATGTCACTCCACTAATTTTAATCTTCTGTTCTTTCCTTAAAAAGTTGTTACTCCCCAGCAATTTACCTTTCACTGTGTTCACATGCTCTGCCTTCTTGGTGAATATACCACTTACTTACATGCTGATAACAAATCACTTACTTTCAATCACACTGTCTCCAGTGTCTACAACAGTGCCAGATCTATACAAAAAGCTCAATAAACACACGTTCAGAGAATGACTCCCGAGTCTAATTTCTATCTTGCAACTTGTTCCTGTACTCCAGACTTATATCATACTTATCTCCTGATGATCTAACTCAGCAGATCTAAACCTTAACTCACAGGCTCTCCTATTATTTTGCCTAACTCAAAAACTATTAACAATACGCAATAAACAAATCTATTCTTCCTCTAGCAGCCCCCAACTGAAAGAATTATATTACCATTTGCTAAATTATAGACAGAACCTGAACATCATTCTTGACTCCTTCCATTCTCCCATTTCATTTTTATGTTCTGTGTGGACATATAATGGTCTCATAATTTAGTCTAAAATCAGGAGGTGGTCATGAAATATTGGTACTCTCTAGCTCAATGGCTCATAACTGGAGGTAATACCCACCAAACTCCCATCCAGAAAATTTGGGAATGTGCCAGGCCTTCTGGTGGTCAAAATTAATGGGGCACTACAGACATTTAGTGGGTGGGGACCAGGAAAGCTAAATGTTGAACAACTATGTCAGAAGACACATTAAAAACTGTCTAGACTAAATGCCAAAAATGCCTAAATGCCAAAAATGCCAAAATGTCATAGAAACGATGAATCGAGCTATTTTTTAAGCCATAAGATGGCAACAAACTCCAAGAAAGCCCTGAAAGATCACTTTTCTGGCTAAAAAGAAACACGTAGTTTCCAAATATCTAAACAGAAAAAAAATTTTTTAATTGAAAATGATGAGAAACACTTTTGAATAAACCTATGTATTCCAATTTTTATTTGTAATGAAGATTATGATAATTCTTTCCACATAGATTACCAAAGTGACACAAAAATTCCTACACTACTGCTGGAAACCTTTTCCTGCTTAAAAAGAATGTATCTAACAAATTCTTCATTTTTTAGTTATTGCATCTTTTAGAAGGTCAGTAAACAACAGTGGCAATACCATGCTATATAATCTTTGTCCTGTAAGGACAGACAGCCAAATAGCTCTGGTGCCAATTGAATTAGGTCAGACATCAAACAAATACCTTCTTTAAAAAAAAAAAAAAACTAGAAACAAGTGGTGGCTCATAAAACAGTAAACCTTATTTTCTTGAATGGCTTACAAATTAGCTCCTAAGGTAATTTAAAAATGTTCTAAGGAACAGAAATGAATGGGAACCACTAATATTTTCCATGGTGACAATGTTAAAATAGATAATATTCTCAGGCTAAGTTTTGGTATGCTTATTTAAGAAATCAATTATTTGATTGTCATTCCTTTAAATAATATGCTTGTTTATTTTGAATGGCTTGCAATATATTCTATGTTCCACAAAATACACCTAAATAGTGAGGTATAATTAAATCTCTACTTCCTAACAGAGACAGTACAGAAGTCTGCAAGTTAAGATCATTGTACTCTGAAATCAAATTGACTGGGTTCAAGTCTTGACTGTAACTTCTTAGATATATGACCTTGGGCAAGTTACATAAACTCTGTGTGCCTTGAGTTCCTCATCTATAAATAAGAGTAACATAGCACCTACCTCATGGAGCTGTTGTGAAGATATAAAGCGATGACACATATAAAGGGCAATAGTGTGGCATATAAAAAACATTCAATAAATGTTAACAGTATTTGCTGTTCATTATTTTATTACTTACTCATTTTTGGTCTCAAAAAATTAATGCAGGTATAGGAATTCCTTAGGTCGAGACTGAAGATGATATTGGATTTTAAACCCAGCAATCCCGTCTTATATCATAGTAGCTACAGGATAAGGACCTCTAGACAAAGAATCCTAAATGAGTGCATCTCACCAGCTATCATGCCTCTAGAGGCTCCAGATGTGTATATTCTAGCTATGCTCCAACTATTTGCTTTCCAGTCTCTTTAAAAGTTTGTATAGATCCTTGCAGGTCCTATCTTATACAATGCCTACAGCTTATGCAACTATAACACTCAGGACACATTTGCACTGCTGTGCCGCAGAAGCACCTAATATGTACTCCAAGTTTTAGTAAAGCATATTAATAAACAGACACTGGTGTGTTGGCCTTGATGGTCATCACTGAAACATTCCAAGTTAAGATATTATTGATAATATGTGGGTGATTTCTTTTATATTTCAAAATTAGATTTCCTAAACAAAGAATGTAATTCCACCAAGTCAAGATGACCAAGAGAAAAAATATCAAAGAATTTAAATAATTTTTTTTCTATGTCTAAGTGTGGTAGGGCTATATTAGTGCTTACTAAGGTTCTCCTTTCCTTCCTGGCTGTATAGAAGTATGGAAAAATTATATATCTGTGACATTATTTTATATATTTATATATATACATATTGTATATAATGTGTGTGGTGTGTGTATGTCTGTTATGGCACAGATATACAAACATATATACATATATATATACACACATATACATACATATATATATGTTTTCATTCACAGTTCCTGGGTGTCAATTCCCACAGCCCTTGTTATTTCTTAAGCAGTCAAAAGCAAAAACATCCCTTTTATTTAAGTATTTGGCCTTTTGTTCCTGGTTCCTGAAGCAGCTTCAGAGTGATAAAGGTGAAAGACAGTCATCTGTTAATATTCAGGTACTTTAGGTCTCAGAAGCAGGCCTCAGAAAACAGAATTTCTTTGTCTAAACTTCTCTTGCCCTCCTTTCACCTGCTCCCTTTTCCTCCCCATGGTAGGCCATAGAAACAAAAAATATAATCTTCTCCCACCTGTCTTACAACTGGCCATAAGGAAATTCTCTGACCTACCTTGGCTGTTTGCAGGTCAAAAGAACCGCATTTCTGAAGGGGTCCTGCCTCATGCTGAGGAGGAAGGAATGCTGCACAGAGAGTCCAAAACGAATTTGAACAGACAGAACTTCTTGGGTTTCCCCACTCTGTCTATTAGTATTAGATCATACCCTTTTTGTCCAATCACGTTTCTTCACAGTTGTCCATGACTCAACCATGCCTATCCAATGAAGCCTCCAGAGGACAGGGTATGCAGAGCTTCCAGATAAACACATGGAGCTTCCTAGAGGGTGGGGCACCCACAGGGGTCATAGAAGCTCCACGCCTTTTCTCCAGTACCTTGCCCTTTGCATCTCTTCATCTGTATCCTTTATAATAAAGTGGTAAACTAAGTGTTTCCGTGAGTTCTGTGAGCTGCTCTAGCAAATTAACTGAACCCAAGGAAGGAGATCAAGAGAACTTCGACTTAAAGTCATTTGGTCAGACAAACAGGTAAAATAACCTGGGCTTGTGATCGGCATTAGAAATAAAGCTTAGTCTTGTGGGACTGAGCCCTCAACATGTGGGATCTGATATAATTTCCAGGTACATAGTGTTGGATTTGAACTGGAGGACACCCAACTGGTATCTGCTGCAGAACTGATTGCTTGCTTGTTGGTGGGGAGAAATTCCCACACATTTGGTCATAGAACTGTTCTGTGTCGATTGTTGTGGTGTGAGAGCAGAAGAAAAACAGTGTGTTTTTAATACAACGTCCCAGACCTTTCTATTAGGCAGGGCCAGGTGCCTTGTTTCAGCCTATAAAATATAAGTGGTAGCGAAATGGTCACTTCTGGGTTGGGGCATGTGAGACTTCCCCATTACCATATCCGCATTCTCTTTTTCCTGGACAACACATACTGAGACAGTGGCTTCATGAAACGGAGGGAGTCTGGATCCTGAGTCATAGGATGAAAGAGCCACCGATGACCCACGTTAGTCTTGGCGTGAGGGAGAAATAAACTTGCTGTGCTATGCAAACGAAATTTAGAAGTTTGTTCCTGCAGCATAACTTAGACTAGTCTGATAAATAAACAGAGGAATTTCATTTTCCTGCCTACACGCTACCAAGTGACAACACAGGTAAAAGTGGGAGACAATATGTACAAGGTGGCAGAAGTAAAGGAAGTGTTAGAGAATGCTGGAAATCTCTGAAAAATGAGGAAGAAAAAGTAGAAATTCAGTAAGACAGAAAATCAATTTTCCTTACAAAATCCTAGATACGTCATTTGGTACCTTTGTTCTGGCCAGGAGGCATGTTTGCACACAGACAAAAATATTCAAAGGGAAATTCTTACCTTCGTAACTGAGCGGTCTCACTTCTTAATGGTTGCATGGTTAGTGCTATCTCAACTTGAATATCTGTTTCCGCTTACTGCTGGAAGTATAGATATACATGCTTCCATTTCTGTAACCAACCTCTGAATTTCTGAATCCTCTATAAAAGACAAAATAAATCAGTAAAATCAATACTATAAATTATTTTTCTACAAGGTTAGTATGTATTACTAAAAAAGAAAATCTTTATAGATATGTACATACTTGTTATAAATTCAACTCAACTATTTATAAATTTATTATACAGGCTCCATTTTTCTCTTTCATCCTGGTGGTATTTCCTTCCTCAGAAAAATTCTAAAGAAATTAAGTTCAACATGGACACAGGGAGGGGAGCACTACACACTGGGGTCTGTTGGGGGGAAATGGTGGAGGGACAGTGGGGGGTGGGGAGTTGGGGAGAGACAGCATGGGGAGAAATGCCAGATATAGGTGAAGGGGAGGAAGGCAGCAAATCACACTGCCATGTGCGTACCTATGCAACAATCTTGCATGTTCTTCACATGTACCCCAAAACCTAAAATGCAATAAAAAAATTTAAAAAATAAAATTAAAAAAAAGATTATAATTTTTTCTTTTTGTAAAAATTTATTTAAATTGACAAAGAAAAAATTTATATACTTATCATGTACAATATGTTGTTTTGAAATAGCTATACATTGTGATGGTTAAATGGAGCTAATTAACACATGTATTACATCACATATTTATCATTTTTATAATAAAAACACTTAAAATCTATTCTCAGCAATTTTTAAGAATACAATATTGTTATTAATTATAGTTATAATGTTATATAGTAGATCTCTTTAACTTATTCCTCCTACCTACTTGGAAGTTTGTATCCTTTGGCCAACGTCTCAATACTTAACTCTTGAAACCTGGGTTTCTTCATGGTTAAATGGAGATAAAAACCGTACTTCACAGGGTTGTTGAGAAGATTAAGTCAGATACTGTTTCTCCAGGTCTCAGTTTCCTCATCAGTAAAATGGTAGTGGTAATAGTACCACATAGGGTTGCTGGGAGGATTAAATGAGATAATGCATATAAAACACTTAGCACAGTGCTGAGCACATGGTAAGTGTTCAATAAATGATAGCCAATGGTATTATTATTATTACCATAATTATGTATCTGATTGTGAAAATGGTGGTAAGTTGAAGGTCTGAAAACACAGCAATTTTAATACACTATGTCTTTGGTTTAATGGTGCTACATTCATATAGCATTTTAAGATTTTTCTTTTTTTGGTCACTCTGCAAATGTTAGGTATTCAATCAATGCTTCCACAGTCAATTACTGTGTTTTCCAAGATGACAAATCTATAAATCATTCCAAGCAAAAGCCACTACAATAGAATACATATACAGAATAAAAACAAATGAATATAATCTGGCTCAAAGACATTTTTCTTGATTTAGGAAAAAAGTTCTAAAAATAAACTGAAAAGCGCATAAGAAGGTTTGGGTTACTCCTCAAAGTGAGATTTGTTAAACAACCTAACAGTTGCCTATTTAAAAAATGACATGCAGGCATACTTTGCATCTTTTTAAAACAGGAAAAATAATCAGTCTACTCAGGCAGTTAATCATCTTCAGGGGTCCTCTAATCTAATTAAAATCTTTATCTGCACAAATTCTCCTTGGTTGAATCTTTTCAAGCTCTATTATCAAGAAGAATAAATACACACTTGCAAGTAAAAGACTGAATGTTTGATATTCTCTAACATTTTAAATCCACAGGAAAAAAAATCAAAACCTAAAAAGTAAGAATACAATAAGCAGAACTGATTTTCTTATTAGTTCAAAACACAGTTCTACGGAAAATACCACAAACTCCATTTAAATGACAGCTAAATAATGTGACACTGGTATTTAGTATAACACCATACTACATAAAATTGTAAGTCTCATCTACCTTTTTCTGCTACCAGGGCCTTGAGCTCTCCCAGCAAATATTTCATAACTCTAACTTTTTCAGCTATCTTGTTCACATTTTTTGCCTTCTGTACATCCTTGACTGTTTTTGTATCTCGCACACGTAGGCTCAAATCCTGTCTTTCACTTCTGGCCTCTCCAATTTGCTCTCTGGCACAGTTTTCTTCATTAGTGGCCAAGAAAGCTGGCTGTGATCGAGTAGGGCTTTGGTGTGTCTGACTGTCCAGATGTGTTTCTTTTCCATGAGATTGAAAAAGAGACATATATGTTTGAAAACATTTGAGTAGGTCTGTTTCCTTATGAACTCCTTGTTGTGGCAGAATCCCACTAACAAGTCGCAGTTGCTGCAAGGTTGGAATAGCTGATGTGTCAGTTTTGGGCAGGCTACGTGGAACTCCAGGGCTGGTGTTAAATGAATTCTGTAGAACATCAGTACAGGTCGCAGAAACTGTTTTACCTTGTGATGCAAACTGACTGTCACAAGAGTTTCAACTTCCTAAAGAAAAAGAAAAGCAAGTCTTCAGAAGTATAAGCAGTCACTTATAGGTATTAATTATAACAAACTCAAATATATAAAATATATTTATTAAAAAATTTATTAATATATTTACTTGGCGAATATTTAATAGTTAGTACTATATTTTGTGGGTATACCATAGTCTGTGCAACCATACTCCTATATGGTTACACATTTAAGTATCAGCCAGTTTTTCACTGCTGAAATATTTCTGTAAATATGCTTGTGCAAAAGCTTTTTGTATGTTTGAACTTATTTTCTGATGATGTAATTTCCCAAAGTGGACTAACTTTTGATGCTTTTAAACCATCTGTGGTATTTGTAAAGTCTATTTTAGTCATGGCCTTGTAATGCTCCCATCTTACAGGGTAAACTAAGCTTCAGAAACCAAGAATCTTTATTGTACTGAGGAAAAATTCAACTTACTTTTAAGCTAAAAATATTAGTAAGTTTCTAATATTAGAAACTTGCTTATTAATAATAATAACAAACTCAAATATATGGTTACACTCCTAACCATATAGTACACAGGCTATGATATATCCACAAAATACAGTAGTAACAAGTTATTAAAAATTCACAAAGGGTATATATTAATAAACATCTTTCAAATAAAGTATTAAGCGAAAGAATCCGTATAGAAAACTGCATAAAGTTTACTTATAACTTTATTTTAAAAGGAAACCAAACTTAACAAATAGAAACCAGAAACTAAAACCTGTACAGAGGATTAAACGACTGGAAAGAACTCTATCAGTGTGTTAACGGCAGTTGTACTTGGGTGGTCAGTATGGTTGATTTTGCTTTCCCCCTACTGATCTCTTCCCCTCTTTCTCCTTCATTACTGTCATTAATAAATAGGTAAAACTATAAAATAGTAAAAAATAAACAACTGGTCTTTAAGTCCTAGTGCATTAAGTTACAATCAATAAATTCAACAGTCCTTCCTAAATGACTGCTATAAGCAAATAGTTACTTATGTAGTATACAAACTGTACACACAGAATGAACCTTTGGAGGGCAGGGTAGCCGCTGAGGTGACCAGACCGGGGTGGAGGTACATAAGCCGTAACTAGAATGAGGAGTTGCCTGAGATTCTATAAGTAAGAGGGAGAAAAAATTAATCACATATCCTACTTTTTATACAATAACAAAGCAATTTAATTAGAACATGCATTCATGACTTTTAAACAGTATTCATACTAACCAGTATGAGACACAGCATGGCATGGTACAGCAGAGATTCCATTAGGGATGTTCTTTGAAGTCAAGTCATTCATCAGTGACATCTGAGTCCGCACATGCTCATAGAGGGCTTGGTATATTATGGGTGAATACATTCTATAATGATCTTGCAATGACCAATTTTGTTCTAGATCTGATGTGTCTCTTTCACTTCTAGCAGGAGCTTCATTAGGTATCTGTTTCTTATTATCTGAAGATGCTAATGTGGAAGAAAAAAAAAGTTCTTGAAACATGATTCTTCAAAAATGCTTACCGTAAGATTTTAAGAGAAGAAAACATGCTCAGAAGTAGTTTAATTCATCACATACTTCATAGAAGGGCTTTACCACTGTCACCCTCACTAAAGAAAATCACCTCAAATTCTTTTGGAAAGTAACTAGTGTTTAAGTTTCCCCAGTCAAAAATCATCTATGCTAATTCTTTAGAATTCCCATTTTTTATGCTACTTGCCATTTGTAAAATCCCTCCTTCAATTTTAACACTTCTTTTAAGGTTGTTATATTATCCCTAAAGTCCAATCAAACTCCTTCACCTTGTTCCTTGTCAGTTCATGTTCTCAAGGGAAAACAGAATAGGAAAGAAAATAGTTTATACAATTCTGATGCTTTGGGCCCTTAAAAACAAAACAAAACCAATCAACCAAACAAAATCTTAACCTGGCATTTAAAGTTTCCCAAAGCTTGACCATAACCTACTTTTCCAACTATTGTCCCATCGCCCCCAACTCAAACTGTTCATTTCAGCCAGGTCAATTTAGTTACCCAGCAAGCTTTTCTTACCTTTCAATAACATTGTTCATGATGAACCATTCCTTCCAATCCAATTCTACGCACTCACCAAGGCTCATCTGAAAGTTTTCTTTTTCCATGAAACCTTTCCCAATCCAATCTAGTCTGGTGACTACTCTTCCCCACCCCAGAGCACATATTGTCTATATGAATCATATGCCACTGACACATTGCCTTATATTGCTTATCTTTCATCCTCCTGTCTTTCTGACTAAACCGTAAGTTTCTTTAAGCAGGGCTGTATTTCATTATTTTATCTTACAGAGTCTAGTATTAGTCTACCTACAGGGTAGAAATCTGGTATTAACAAAGTAATAAGTAAAAAACAACAAAGTCTTCTACATAGCACTACCTGTAGATTGGTATAACAATCTAAGTTCTATTTCCCTAATTAGATCCCCTTCCCAAGTGTTTTTTAAAATACTATTAACAGAAATGAGAATACTCTAGTAAATCACGGGTTATCAGTATACAAAATAAATTTGGAAAATTTACTGCTATTGGTAGCACCTATCAAAGCTAAACATACATATATTCTATGACATAACAATTTCACTCCCAGGTATACACCTAACAGAAATGAGTGCTTATGTCTACTAAAAGACATGTACAACAATGTTCACAGCAGCTTGATTTGTGGTAGTCAAAAGCTGAAAACACCAAATAGCCATGAATAGTAGAAACAGATAAACTGTGGTATATGCACAGCTTGGAATAATACACAGCATTAAAAAAAGAACAAAGTACTGATATATACAACTATCTGGATGTTTAATAGACAAAAGGCTGAGTGAAAATATTCAAAGCAAGAGTGCACAGTGTTCAATTGCATTTATAGGAAGTCCTCAAACAGGTAAAAGTCACAAATGGAAACAGAAGTCAGGAAAGTGGTTACACAGGCTGAGGGTCTAAGTGATGGTAGGGGTACTGACAGGGAGGGAGCCTTGTAGGGTGCTAAAAATTTTCTGTATCTTACCCTAGGTGGTATCTATAGGGGTGTATACATATGCAAAAATTTATTGAGATTTATGTACTTTAAAATTACTTATGAAAAGTATTTCTTACTTTTTAAAAAATGATTAAAAATTTAAAAGTAGAGAATCCCTCAAATATATAAATATGTATAGTTTACTGAAAATAAAAACATTGCTAAAAGCATACAACTTCCATGTAAAAGCAAAAACAGAAAAAGTTAAAGGCAGATGAAATACTATAACCAGTGAAAATAGAAAAAAAAAATTAAAGAAAAAGACCTAATATTTGACTATGAAAATGGGTGAAGATATCAGATGCTCCCCTTTTGACTTGGGGTATGTTTCCTTTTGAGATGATCTTTTCCTATGAATGTACTTTCTAGGCCTATATGCAAGCTTTAACACTTATTAGCTGAGTAACTTTGGGCAAATTAACTTCTCTTGACTTCCTCTTTCTTATCAGAAAAACTGTAATGCCTATAAGATTATTGTGAGATGTAAATGAGATAACACTTGTAAAGTTCTTAAATCGATGTCTAGCACACAGTAAAAACTCAATAAATGTTAAATATCATCAACTACCTGTACTCTCACAATAGACAAGTAAATATATTCATAAATCTTGCTATCTGATGTCAGTAATAAACCTCTAAACATGTCCCTTATGAGATGATTAGACTCAAAAGCAGTAAGAGTTACCTTCACTATTTGAACAGATCAGATCAAACAAAACTGGTTAATAAACTTCTGTAAAGCAAATACTACTTTTTACTGGAAATATAATCTTATAATAAATGGAAAAGTACCGTCTAAAATATTTTAACTTTGAAATCTAAAATAACAGAAGGTGAGATCATAGCCCATGGCCATCGAGCACACCACAAGTCCTTTCCTCTTGATTCCTGGGTCTTTCCTTCTGCTCTTGGATTTCCTCTGGTCCTTGAGAATTGGCTAGTTTGGGCCAGGCATGGTGGCTCATACCTGTAATCCCAGCACTTTGGGAGGCTGAGGCAGGTGGATGACCTGAGGTCAGGAGTTTGAGACCAGCCTGGCCAACATGATGAAACCCTATCTCTACTAAAAATACAAAAAATTAGCCAGGTGTGGTGGCGGATGCCTGTAACCCCAGCTACTCAGGAGGCTGAGCCAGGAGAATCGCTTGAACCCAGGAGGTGGAGGTTGCAGTGAGCTGAGATAGTGCCACTGCACTCCAGCCTGGGAGACAAGAGTGAAACTCTGTCTCATCAAAAAAAAAAAAAAAAAAAAAAAGAGAGAGAGAGAGAGAGAGAGAGAATTGGCTAGTTTGAAGATATCTGTTTTCACACACAGGTCATAGCATTGGGATCTCATTTACTTTCTTTTCAAGGTGTGGTTTTCACAGTCTTTAATAAAGCTGAGCTACATTATGCCTCAGCCAGCAGATGTCATTGTCCAACATAAATTAATAAACTCCAAAACTATTTCTTAAACATCAAAGCCTTAGAGCTAAAATGACATATTTCACTCCTTTATCAACTAAGCCCATGCAAAACTCTACTAATAACGTTGAGTAACTTAATGATGTAAAGTCTTAAAGCAAACAATCCAAGTTAAAAACCATAAATGGATATAAGGCAAAGACTGCAGTTATATTACTACTACACGATTTTAAAATAAAACAATGACCAAATGAGCCTGTTACTACACAAATACAAATGAAGCATATTTACTTGCTCCTGTTAATTACACCAACGCACTCTACGTGAAAATTTTACCTATTGGTCTGGCAATATGTTTAAGTGATGTCAGGTGATAACTAGAATTCATGAAAGGAATGTATTCATTTACTCAGTCCACAAAACTGTTTCAGTCCCTAAAGTCTACCTGCTGTGCAAGCACTGGCTATTGCTTGGATGGACAAGCACCGTCTGACGGGAAGTGATTCCCATCACTTGAATACAGAACAAACAACTAGAGCAGGTAAGAGCCACTGGATGCCTACTATAACTGGCCTTATGAGGGGCAATCAATGCTCAAAGGATTCTGCCTGTGCTTGATTTAGTTCCCCAAGATGAAGATGGAAATATATATATGTTACTAAAAGCAAAATCATGAAAGCATTCAACGCAGTTATCACATATAAAAGTTGCTTATTAAAAAAAAATTTTTTGGCCGGGCGCGGTGGCTCAAGCCTGTAATCCCAGCACTTTGGGAGGCCGAGGTGGGTGGATCATGAGGTCAAGAGATCGAGACCATCCTGGTCAACATGGTGAAACCCCGTCTCTACTAAAAATACAAAACATTAGCTGGGCATGGTGGCACGTGCCTGTAATCCCAGCTACTCAGGAGGCTGAGGCAGGAGAATTGCCTGAACCCAGGAGGCAGAGGTTGCGGTGAGCCGAGATCGCGCCATTGCACTCCAGCCTGGGTAACATGAGTGAAACTCCGTCTCAAAAAAAAAAAAATTTTTTTTTAAATGCCAAAGCACTCTTAAATAAGCTCAATACATTTCTGGAAGGGCCTCTCTGCCTCCTTACTTCCAGAATGCATCATGGTGTGCATACCTGACTCCATAGGCATCCAATGATCAGATAGGTCCCAGATAGAAAATACATGGGAGGGGCCATTCCCCAGAAAACAGTTAACACAAAATATCAAGATAATATGTGTTAAAAGTAAAATAATACATGGATACTAGTTGACATGCTGTAATAGATTCCTTAAAGTTCTTTACAATTACCTCACTTGGAGAGAGGTGGTAAAGAGAACAAGCGATGAGCTTGGATTTTATAAGCATTGTAGTAACGAGCAAAATCTTGTATTATTGGTTAACAGCTGCCAACCACACACACACACACACACACACACACACACGTTTGTTTCTAGAAAGTGCTACAATTTGGTAAATTAAAAAAACAATAGAGCAGTTGAATCAAACAGTCAGAGGTTTCTAATGAGTTAAACTTAGGAACACTTAGAAATTAGGAACTAATAATTTCTAATATTGCAACCCTAAGGCAGACTGTCCTATGGAAGTACGTCCTTCCTTCTGATTATGAAAATATGAGAGAAGAAACGGTAAGAATACTGCACCCTGATCACAAGCCAGAGCTGCTGGTTCAGCTGTAATCCAAATAAGAATTTAATGCTACAGACCCAGAATGCCAGAATCTTCCATCTGCCAATCCAAATCCACCTCTACTGGTCTTCACCTTGCTCTCCCTGGAATGCTGATCTATATGGATTGCGAAGAGACAGTCCTTCATGGGTCACTCCTCCTCCTAATATTTCTTGCTGTGTATATCAAAAAAGCCAGGCTTTGACCTAAGCTCTTTACCTGGGCCACTTCTCAGGGTTGTGTTTGCAGCGAGCAACCTTGAGGGATAAGGTAATATTTCCCTCTGGGGCAAGCACAGGCTTGATTACTGCTTACTATCAAAGTGGCAGATTCCCCAAGCTTAGTGTTCCTCAGCTGCAACCTACACCTAAAGGATGTGCAGCATCCATTTGGATCCACCGAATCACTCCATTGGGAATTAGGGTGAATGAGAACCAACACAAATATGCTGATGCACATACTGCTTCCTATGCTGTGAGTAATAAAGTCCTTTGTCTCTGACCAGTAGTTTTGTGTCTTCTGCTAGCATCCATGATACAGTGAAACTAACTTACTAGCTTGTAAGAGTCAAATTCCAGACCTGATATACATCAGTAGGGCTTCAATCCAATGGGAGTCTTGGCATATGAAGAAAAGGAAGAAACATGAAGTTGGATATACACTTACCCTGCTCCCTTTCTATGAGGTCCCCTTGGGCTGACTTTGTCCTTTCAATGAAGCTCACTGTTCTTCTCAAGGTAGCATATTCTATAAGCAATACCACTTTCTAGGTCTAGTAACTCTCCTAATCCCTTATGGCCTAGAGATGATAACAGCTCTGCTGCTGCTGCTAGCAAGACCCAGCAGGCAAAACTTGTGGTTTTCCTATGCCCTACTCATACCTTTACCATGAGTCCCTTTGTAAATAAAATAAACCCTCCTCGAATTACCTCAATTTGAGTGTTGCCATGTGTTTCCTGTTGGAACTCTGACAGAAGCAGTTAAGTCAGGATCCAACAAGTTGCTACCATGACACCCACTCTCAGCCACATATATCTCAAATGATAGATCCTTGAGGAAAGGTGCCCTGGATAAGAAATAACCCGCCTACAGACAAAAAGTAGGAGACTGGAGGAACAGGTGCTATTGCTCCTTTCTTTCTCAACTGGGCTGCAATAAAAAGGCCTCAACTTGAAGAGTTAAGACCAGGGTTTAGCACTTTTTTTCTTAAGAGGTCAAATAAATATTTTAGGCTTAGCAGGCCAGATGATCTCTGTCACAACTACTCAACACTGCCGCTGCAGTACAAAAACAGCTAATAAAAACACAATAAATTAGCTTGGCTGCATTCTAATAAAATCTTATTTACAAAATAAAATAATTAAACATTACTTATAAAACTGGCTGTAGTGTGCTGAGCTGACTTAGACCAATGTTGTCCAATAGGAATATAATACAAACCATATATATAACTTAAAATTTCCAGTAACCACATAAAAGAAGAGGTAAAATTACTTTTCATATTTAAGCCAATATATCAAAAATATTAACATTTCAGTGTATAATATAAATAACTGAATTTTTTTGTATTTAATCTTCTAAATCTAGCATGCATTTTACACAAAGCACAATCTAAATGCTAAATTATCATCCGAAATACTTGGTCTATATTTAGATTTAATAAAATTTACACTTAAAAAGGTAGGTTCACATGCCCAAGTTATTCCAAACATACTTAAAAGTTTTATAATACCTGGATCAATTTTCAGTTTTAGAATTTCATTTTAAATTAATTTAAATTAAATAACACTAAAAATTCAATTCCTTGGTTGTACTAGTCATATTTCAGGTGCTGAATAGCCACATGTGGCCATGGCTACCATCTTGAATAGTGCAGGTCAAGACAATATAAGGCTAATGTTACTGACCTCCAAGATGAGTTAGGTTTCCCCTGCCTTAGTTCTCTATCCTGGGACTATCTGAAACATCAACTCCTAGTCCCATGAATGCTCTACTCTTTCTCAGCCTCCTTGCTTGAATTCTGATCTCTTAAGACACAGGGTTACTGCCTTAGATGACTTTCTAAACTTCATTCCTTGCCCAAGCTGAATCTAAGCTTGCACTACAGTGCTGACATTTCTGGCCCACCTGAACTATAGAAGTGGCTAGTCTAATTCTCATCCATCTGAATTCTCATTGTGGACTTTTTCATCTTCATTTTGGGCGATCTTGTCCTCTAGGCCTCCAAGGGACAACAAAATCAAAACTTTCTTGTTCTAAACCAGGAAAAGTTAGCCGTCAGGGTGTAAAGTACCCTTGGCTACATTCACCATCAATGAGCAGGAGGCTCTTTCCTTATTAATCCAATTATACCTTCTTATGCACCATGTATCCTAACTGTGTAACTTGAGATCAGCTTGACCAACTTAGGATACATATATATATATTTTTTTTTAACATAATAATTTTAAAGCAACAACAATAAGTATACACCTGAATTACAGCCAATTTGTGATTATCTATGAAAACAAGTGGCAGAGGAAACTAACTCTATATACTTCCCAAAAGTCATTCTGAGTTTGAACTTTTTCTCCTGTAAAACCCAGTCTTTTTTTATATAACCACTCAGCAATTAGAAGCTGAATAAAAAAAGACAGGCATAAGCACACATAAACCTAACCAACACTGATTATTAAAATGAACTGCATAATCCTGATAATTGATCAAAATACCCACAATTAAGGATTATCTTTAAATAAGAGAAAAAAAGGCTTACATGTTTCTTTCCGGACTATGAAAGGAACAGTATGTTTTTCATGTCTTTTCTTTTTAGATCCATATTTTCTGCTGTCTAAAGGTCTAGAATTAGATCTGTTTTCTAAATATGCTGTTTCTAAACCTATTAATAAAACAAAAATTTGTTAATATCAAAATAATGACTTAATTGAGAAAAGGTATTCAGCAAAGAAGCATTTAAAAAAATAAACCTGAATCTTCATTTCTCAAAATGTTCCTCAGCAAAGAAGCACAACCATCAAGCCCATGAAGAGTTTCAGCCTGTAAGGAATAAAGTCATTTAGAATACATTTGTATATAACTGTTAGTATAGGAAAAAATATACGTTATGTACTTTTAAATTTCTTTATTTATAAGCAATTTATTATTGGTAGAAAAGATGTTTTAAAGCAACAGATTTCATACTTCCTTAGACCAATTAATACTTTGCATTTTATTCCTACTTTTTAGCTCCCATCTGAAAACTAATTAGTGTGTATTGTATCTATTCAATCTTACCTGACTTTCTGAATCAGAATGGATGGAATAGCCAGAATCTGCATTAAAACGTGATATTCTTCTTAAATGGGTCCTGGAAAATAAGCTCATTAATATTCTTATATTTTTTTCCCAAAATTCATTAGTCATCTTCTTTCCAGCAAAGACTAGATAAGAAAGCTTGACCCACCAGGTACAAGATGAATTTATAAGCACATTCTAAAGATTAGAAAGACTGTTAAACACTAGAATGATTAACACAGGTAGATATGAAAAGTTGTTCCCCAGAGCGTGTGATGCTACAGGCCTACCTAATTTTCTGGGGTAGATGACATGTCACCCAGCCCAAAGACCTGAAAAATGTCTTGAAATCTGAAGTTGTAAATGTCTTTAAGTACTTACCCTTTCTTCCCATTTGTTAATTTAGCAGGTCCAGTGTGCCTTCCTGAAGATAACACCTATGACATAATATATTATAGCAGATAAATATTTTTCTATTACATTTTCAATATGCTATCTTGATAAAATATGACATTTTTTCTTTTATTTTTCTTCTCAAACTAAAACTCTGTACTCATCAAACAATACCTTCCCATCCCCTCTTCCCCCTCACCGTAGCAATTACCATCCTAGTTTCTATGAATTTGACTACTCTAGAAACTTTATAAAACTGGAATAATACAATACTTGTCCTTTTGTGACTGGCTTATTTCGCTTAGCATAATATCTTCCAGCTTCATTTATACTGAAGCAAATGTCTAAATTTTTCTTCCTTTTTGAGGCCAAATGATATTTCATTGTATGTATGTGCCATATTATTCACTGTTTTAAGTAATGTGATATATCCTAAAAATCCACAATTATAATTCATATATTAAATTTCTTTTATGTAAAATGTCAAGCAAACAACACATATATTTGTTACTTAAGTCTATTTAAGGTGAAAAGGAAATTGATATACTATTTTAAACCAGAGGTAACTACTACACTAAGTTCAGACTATATTAATCCCTAAACATGTTCTATATTCCCAAATTCTTTGAAACATACAAGTTAATTCAAGATACAGAACAGAGTTCTTAACTCTGGTTCCTTTTATGTACATTATTTAGAATGCCTGATGAGACCAGCAAATGAAAACTCTAACCTTTCTCTTTATCTACATCTCACTGTCTTAATCTTTCTTTGGAAACTCATATAGCACTGTTGTTTTCTTAAATTTTTTTTGGTTTTAAAAGTGACATAATGGACAACTTTTTCTGTAGAAAAACAGGAAAAAATAGGCATTTGCTTTTACATGTACCCAGTATCTTGAGAGTTATGCCAAAAACAGTTAATCACGGTTGCCTCTAGGGAGGAAAACTGAGTATCTGGGGCACAAAGCAAGAAAGGACACTTTCCATGGCATACCATTTTATATCTTAATAACTTTACATCAGATAATCTCTATTCAAAATAATTTTAAATCAACATGAGTTGAAGTCCCTGACTCCCCCCCTCGTTCTACCCTCCAGATATAGTCACTGTTGGCAGTTTCATTTATAATTTCTCTTGACATATTTACATATTTCATCTCAAGATAGCTTTGAGCAGTAACTACCAAACTTTCTAAAGTTATGTGGCATTCTATCATATGCATGAACGTGTGTTCCATCCTTCTAAGAACGTAACTGAGAATGCATTTTTTAAAAAACTGGGTTGGTAAGAGTTACACTTCTAGAGATAATTTGGAATATGATGGAGGAAATAAAGCCAGCAGTGAGAATCAACAATGTAGGAAATAAGACATTGTGAAACATCACTCCACTGGTCTCTGCATCACACTCTCAGGGTCTTTCCCTTTAGTATATCTATGTTGATGTCCTGGCTGGAATCATAATAAAAACTCCAAGCCATGACACTATAATACTATACCCTGGATTGAGTCCAAAAACAACTACCAAAATTATTCTTTCAATTTTTTTTTTAAGTACACTGTCTGAGGTACATGTCTGAGTCAACAAACAACTACCACAATTGTTCTTTCAAAAAAAAATTTTTTAAGTACACTGTCTGAGGTACATGTCTGGTATAACTGTAAGATATATATGGTGTTTCTCCAAAAAATATACACAAGGCTATCTTATTTTTTAAGTAAAAAAAATTGTATTGTATCAAACGAAAACATTTTTCTCTTCGCAAGACAACACTATGAAAATTAAAAAGCAAGCCACATTTTTCTCTTTGTAAGACAACACTATGAAAATTAAAAAGCAAGAAGGAAATATTTGTAATATGTAGATCTGACAAAGGACTTTATTCAGAATACATAAAGATATATCACAACTCAATAATGAGACAAACAAGCTACTTAATAAATGAGGAAAAGATCTTAAAAGACACAAGGCTATCTTATAGGAAATCTGGTCAAGAAAATTACTCATGATAAAAGCACCCTAAAACAGTAACTACCATATTGGAACAATTCCTTTCAATTTTTTTTTTGTAGTTCCTACTATGAAATAATAGCACAAAGAAGTCCTATATATGCTTCACTCAGAGTCTATAACCTTTGACATTTTCCATGTTCTCTGTCTATATGTATACAGTATTACTTTTTGCCTGAACCATTAAAGTTGCAGATATAATACTCCTTTACTCCTAAATATTTCCTAAAAACAAGGCCATTCTCTAATATAACCACAGCATAATTATCAAAACCAGGAAATTAACATTGATACAGAATTATGATCTAATGTTCAGACCTTATCTGCATGCTGTCAATTATCCTAATACTGTCCATTACAAAAAAAAAAAAAAAAAAATCCCTCTGGTTCACACCCAATCCAGGATCACATATTGCATTAAACTATTGTAGCTCTTTAGCTTCCTTTAGTCTATAACAGTTCCTCAGGCTGTCATTCATTGTCTGTTATAACCTTGACATATTTAAAGCGTCTAAGCCAGTTATTTCATACAATGTCCCTCTGCACATTTAGATTTGTCTGATGCTTACCCACAATTACACGCAGGTCATGCATTTTTGGCAGGAATCCACAAAAGAGATTATGTCCTTCTCAATAAACACACGTCAGTTTGTCCCATTATTCATGATGTAAACTTTGACGACCTAAGATGGTGTCTGCCAGGCTTTTTATTGTAAAGTTTCTACTCTTATCTTAGTAATTGTTAGCATTTTTTGAAGAGATACTTTGAGATTATGTAGATATACCAATCACCAATCTTTCACCCCATAGTTTTAACATTCATTGATGATTCTTGGCTGAATCAATTGTTTGACATGGTGATTTTCTAACTATGTAATCCTTCTACATGTATTAGTTGGCATTCAACTTTAGGAAAGCACCTTTTCCTTCTTCCTTGTTAGTGGGGACTCGCTGATTCCTATTTTCTTCAGTAGGTTATGATCCATTATTATCACTTTATTTTGATGCTCAAATTGTCTCAAATTTGGTCTCTGGGAGCTCCTTGAATTTGATTCCTGTATCACTTTAACATGTCCCCATCACTTTCTGAGCTATTGCTTACTTTCTACAACAAGGTGCTCCCGGTTCATCTTTTAAAAATTCTCATCAAGGTGTTTAAAATGAGATCTACCTTCCTAACAAAATGTAGTATTAACTATAGACATGATATTATACAGCAGATCTCGAGAATTTCTTCATCTCACATAAATGTAACTTTATACTCGCTGAATAACAATGGCATCTCTCCCTTCCCATGACCCCTGGCAACCACTATTCTATTCTGTTTCTATGAGTTTTAACTTTTTTAGATACTTTATGTAAGTAAAATCATGCAGTATTTGTCGTTCTGTGACTAGCTTATCTCATTTAGCATAATGTCTTCAAGGTTCATCTCTGTTGTTACATATGAGAGCTATTTCCTTCTTTTTAAAGATTCAGTAATAGTCCATTTTATGTATATACCACGTTTTCCTTATCTTTTCATCTGTAGATATTTAGGTTATTCCCACATCTTGGCTATTGTAAATAGTGCTGCAATGAACACGAGAGTGCAAATATCTCTTCTGTATCCTGATTTCAATTCTTTTGGATAAATTCCCAGAAGTAGAATTGCTGGGTAATATGACAGTTCTATTTTTAATTTTGTGAGGAATCCCCATATTGTTTTCCATAGGGGCTATACCATTTTACTTTCCCACTGACAGTGTACAAGAGTTCCAATTCTTCCAAATCCTTGCCAATACTTTTAATTTTTTTAGCAAGTCATCCTAACAGGGGTTAGGTAATAGCTCATTGTGGGTTTAATTTGCATTTCCTTGATGATTAGTGATGTTTAGCATCTTTTCCTATACCTGTTGGCCATCCACACGTCTTCTTTGTAGAAATGTCTATTCAAATCCTTTTTTCATTTTTTAAACAAGTTATTTGTGGTTCTGCTTTTGAGTTATAGAAAGTCCTTATATTTATTTTAGATATTATTTATCAGATACATGGCTTGGAAATGTTTTCACCCATTCTGTAGATTGCCTTTTCACTCCTCCATCACTCATTTCCTATGCTGTACAGAAGCTTATTAGTTTGATGTAACCACACTCTTCTTTTTTTTTTGAAACGGAGTTTCGCTCCTGTTACCAAGGCTGGAGTGCAATGGCGTGATCTCGGCTCACCGCAACCTCTGCCTCCTGGGCTCAGGCAATTCTCCTGCCTCAGCCTCCCGAGTAGTCTACACTCTTCTTGTGATTCCCCTGCTCAGCCCTGGAATTGGTCATTTTTCCAAGAAGCCATGACTCCTTAGGGGACAGTGGTACTTGGAAACCAAGATCTAGATACTAGATGTGTTCTTTGCTATTGGGGCTTCCAATCATTTTTCATATGCATTTTTTACTTAGTCATAATAACTAGATATTTGCAATTTCGAATCTTGTGTTTTCTACTTTTAAATCTTTTTCATATTCAAAATTTTTTTTTTTTTTTTTTTTTTTTTTTTTTGAGGGAGTGTCTTGTTTTTTTGCCGGGTTGGGGTACATGGGCGGGGTCTGGGGTCCCCCCAACCCCCGCCCCCGG